ATTAGGTCAGAAATATAAATAGCAACCCTTGTATTATTTTTCAACTTAATTTTTTTTCTTACAACATTTTTTCGTTTCTGGTTCAGTTTTATGCGGTCTTTCCTTCTAGTAGAAACATTTTTAGTAACCCATGTATAATTTTCTCAAGGGTTTAACAAGTTTTTAAAAGTAGTTGCGAAAATGAAACAATCGTTGATATTTTATAACATATGTGGCCATCACTATGCATTATTTTTAAATAATCTCTACGTGAGAATCTATCTGGATGCACATTCCAAGCTGTCGAATTTCTAAAAGTTAGAGTAGAATCTTTAAAAGGAATATTTCTTCTAGTGTTTAAGTACTATTACTATCTTAAATTAGTAAGACATGGAAAGACAGATTGTTACAGGTTATGTGCTTCAATAATAAGCCTCATTTTAAATATTTTTGAGTTCCTGAAAAAATGGTGGCAGCAGCATCAGTTTCTGACATATTTTTAAAATTTTTTTTTTTTTTTATGAAAAAGATAATTAAAGTTTGATATTTTCTACATGACGAGTTTTTAAATGTATATGATATGTAAATGAAATAAGGTGGTAATACTTATGTTTACTAAATTCTATAAATTAATAAATATTTTTGTTGAACATGCTGGAAATATAAGCAATATATCAATGAATAATTGGTTTACCTATGCATTCATTAGCTTCTGTGGGGGTGGCAGGTGCCCACAGTCTTTGGTTAAACAAGGGTAAACATTGATCACAATCGTCTCCCATAGTACGGTGCTCACATCGACAGACGAGTCTCATTATTCCAGTTTCTTCGTCTGGAGTATAGACGCAATCACTAGCATGTCCATAACATCGACATCTGATGAAACCATTATTATTATATCATGATTACATACACTATACATATTTAGAACTTTTGAATGAACAATGAAACATATTTAGAACTTTTAGAAATTTTTTTTTAATTTATGGATGTTTTCATTCAATACCAGGGATAGATTATTTGGCGAAGTCATTTAAAATGACGTTTTCAAGGCTTCCAATAGTCATAAAATTTCGAAAAATAGTGAACAACATGAAACATCGACATATAATAAAACTATTATTATATCACGACTACTTTAATACAAGAATGTAACACTATTATCTATACATATTTAGAGTATTGCTTTATGAAATTTTTTTATTTTATTTATGAACGTTTTTATTTGATGGCGGGAATAGGTCATTTGGTGCAGTCATTTAAAATAAAGTTTTTAAGGCTTCCGCGGGAAATAAAATTTTAAATGACCATGAATTAAAGTTCGTTATTATCTATTATATATAATTCTCTTACGTGGCTCCCAAATTTTGACTGTATTNCTAGCATGCTCAGGAGCTAAACACTGGGGGTTCCGTGTTTGGCTGACCTCCTCTGCTCCTGCACACCAGAGCTCAAGGTCAAGAGAACTGAGATGGACACAGTGGGCCCTCTATGGGCTGTCGTGCCACTGAGTTTAGTTCAGTATTATAAAATATTTGTGACTCTATACTATTATCTATTTCGACAGATTTCAATGTTAAAGTGGTCTCCAAAGAGGCGATGAATGGGAGTTCTCTTAAATGGTTCCTATGAACGATATTTGTTTTATGCTTAAAATTATTTTATGTTCAAACGTAATATAACCATGCGATCGTGTAAACGTGATCATATGATGTTCCACTTGAACAATAACACGGTTCATTTTAACATATTAAGGTAGCAGCTGTATATTACGGTTGAAGTTGAACCGATTTTTATGACATTGTATTAATGTACAAGAGAATTTTTAAATAAATTCGTGCTCTTAATCGGTTGAGATTTTAATTTGTGCTTTTAGATAAATATTATAATGATTAAAACTTGCTGTATCTTTTCTGAAAAGAATATTAAATAAAATTAAAAAAAATAGTAGATTCCAGAAGTTCGTCTAAAATTTTAAAGAGGCAGTTAAATAGAAAAACTATAATTTAAGAAATTAATCCAAAGTTCGTAATGGCCCTGTCAGTTTGTAGTAGTGTTAGAAAATTTAATGTCAAAGAAATTCTCAGGAGAAATTTCTTTTCACCCCTTACTCTATTGTTCGGAAGTCAAGATAAAATTTTCATATAGATATGCTTTATTTGAAAAATAGCAGGTAATGGTGGTCAACGTTTGACAACGATACTTCAACAACGATCGTTGTTTATATTATTTTACACTGATACAAATTTCTAAAAAAAAAGGGTAATGACAATTTATTTAATTGTTATTTTACCATATTATAACAAAAAAGTCAGATAAACATTAATAAGAGAGTATTCAAATTGCCAACTGTGAGAAAAACTGTTTATTAGCTATTTTCACCTAATATGGTGAAGCAGCCAGAATTTTATCGCACCAATTGGCTCACCTAATGAAGCCACTTAGTTCCCTGCAGCTGGGTTCATATGGCATCTGAAAGGGTTAATCTATCAATCTTATGACTGACAGAACGGAGGTTCGAGTCGCAATGTTGACACTACAACATTTCCTTCATTCCCTACAACAGAGTTTTTAGTGTCATGTACTCCCTAAGTAAAGATCCTGGTATATCAGAATACGATGCTCTCGTTAACGCCTAGATGGCAGCACCATAAAGCTTCTTAGTACAAAAAAGAATTGAAATTCTGACAGTGTAGTCAAGGGAGAACTTAGTTAATTTTTTTTCTCCAATTATTAAGAAACTCAGAAAGTTTTTCTCAAAGAAGCAATCCATGTGTAAGATTGCCGAAGCTCCTGATTTTCATGAGATACTTTATTTTTATTTTTAAAATGATAGTAAATAAATGCGTTAATATTTTTATATTTGCTTAACAGGGTTGATAGATAATGATTATGATCATCATTACAAATAAAAAATGTTTAAATAAATATATAAAAGTCCTAGCAGCATTTCTTAACAGTATTTAGTGCTATATAGTTGAAATAATTTCTGCTATCAGCAATAGAGGTCATTTTTATATCGCTACCACTAAAAAGAATCTTAACTAGAAAGTGCAGCAGCTATTTATAAATTTACTTCGCTCATAGGTGATTAGGATTGTTTTAATGAATTCAGGATCAAAGTTACCATGAATTGCTTTTTTTTTTTAAAATAGGATTTCAATTCCGAAACTTATTTTGGTAAAATAAGGCAATGGTGATCACCATGACATATTAATAATGTAAATAAATATATATACCTGATGAAAATCGAACAACTTCTACATTTTAAAACCTAAGTGGCAGCAAAAACTAGAATTTTTTTAAAGCATGAAACCCTCTACCTCTTTCAAACTGATACCTTTTACATCACAATGAAATGTTGCATTTTTGCAAGGATAGCTCTGAATGGGTAATATTAAATTCTGGATATCTTTGAAATGAGAATTCCTATAAAGGTGTATTTACCTGGCTCCTACTGAAAAATCACTGATGGCGAAGTAATAAGATTTGAGAACTAATGAATCTTCGAAGATTTCATCTCCAAAAGTATTTATTTTGTCTAAAGAGATACGAATAGCTGTGGCTATTACCCATTCCTAAATAAAAAGAAAAAAGGAACAGTAAGCCAAAAACCGACAAAAAATTATTTATTTCAGTGAGTACATAACAAAATGCTAGCAAGAGTAAGAAAAAATGCAATAAATCCCTTGGTGCGCAAAACTCTCCGGCCAGTACATTTTTAGTATTTTTCGGTAAGTCTGGCGCAGTCGCCAAAACATGTAAAACTCTGCCACTTTTTTTTTAAATTTTATTTATTTTTAAACACATAATAATTAAATTAAATAAACAAAAAGTAGCTGAGTTTCCTTGTTCCAGGATGTTCGAAAAGTACCATATCTTTTTATAACACTAACCAGTTAACCAGTTTGGCTGTTTAAATGAGTAAAATATAAATAATCTTTATTATTACAACCAAATTCAAATAATAATACATTATGACGTATTTATTATTTTATATATAAAAATTTTTAAGCATAAAAATTAACTGTAATATTTCCGTGTTCAAAAGTCTTAAGCAATGAGTACTTATATATATACAAGTTGAAAAATTAATATACCAACCAAAAAATGATATAATACTGTTAATACTTTGTAGCTATGCTATTTACAGCAATCACAGCAGCACAAAGTGGAGGCATAGACTCCATAAGATTATTAATGTTATCGACAGTTGGAATTGGATCGCATTCCGTTTACAAACATTGGAATAATCGTTTTTTTTTTAATATTGATGTTTTCATACACGAGCATATGGGATTAAGATCTGGAGATCGACTTGGCCTTTGGAAAACGTCAAAATTGTTACGCGTAAACCATTTCTGCACTAGCTTTGATGCATAAGTTGGGTCATTCGGTTAACACTTACTGATAAGTCTAGTTTTGTGGCATTTGATTCGCATACTTCCTTGACCCGAAAGACACCCCTAACCAAAATGGCTTAATCAGTCGGTTTGTCAGTCGAAATTTGACCAATTTGTCACTCTGGAGTAAATTCTAACTCTAATCACCTGAAAAACATTATTTTTTACAATTCTTCAAAGTCCAGTTGAAGTGGTCTGAGGTAAACTACAATGTTTTTACCAATTAATAGCTTCGTCCTGGCTGTGTGGCAATAATAATTAATATTCTGTTTATTTTTTCCTATGCTTTTTTTATCACTTTAAGGCTTATGTTTTTTACCATATCCACTTTGATAAAGAGTAATCAGGCTATTTATAGTTGATAAATGACGAAAATAAATACGATATGGCGATATAAAGATGATATAATGACGATACAAACGATATTGACCCAAATGACGATGATAAAGACGACATTTCATTTGAGAATTTCCCTTCATCCTATGATTTTATTACTTTTTATTATGAATAAAAACATATGTATCAACCCCATATTGAAAGTTCTGTTGATGTTAACTGAATGTTCATTACAGAATTATTAATTTTAAGGTTTTTATTTCTAAAAAATTATTTTAATTAATTTGAAATCAAAATCTGGCACTGTTTTAAACACGAAATATTGTAGTTTATTTTACTTTTTTATCTTTACAAATCTCTATACATATGATATTAATTAATAATGTAATATTATTTGAATTTAGTAATAATATATAATGATAAATATGTATTATCAATTTTAAAATATTAAGTTATTATTGTAGAAATGTCGAAAAGCTCTCTCTCTCCC